GGGAGACAATTTAGTTCTCTATCTATACACAGATTCTACTTTTAATTGTACATGGTATGTCATCAAGCTAAGGCACACATCATCTTGGGAACTGAGACTCATCTTAAAACTGATGACATATTTAATTGGCAGTGTTTTTATTAAGTGGCATATAAAATGATAAATCTTACAATAGTATCAGATTAGGTGAATTTTGGAGATTAATAGGAAAAAGATATTGAGTCATTAGTAAGTTTAGGCTGATATGAAATAGACTGGTAACTGTTATGTCTTAATGTGTCTTATTTATACTAAATGCCACAAAATATTTCTGTTAATTTAAACCTAAGTACATGGTAGAAATGAAACCAAAAACAAAAAGAGAACAGAAATGGCTGAGTGACAATAGAAGGAGACTCAGGTCTAGGTAAAACAACTGGTATGGGATTTATAGACTATAACATACTGGCAAAGGCTAATGAAAAAAGTTTCTCTTAAGAATCTGAAAGGTGTTCCAGAAAATGTGTAACCATGAATTTATCCATAAAACATGTTCTTTTAACTTAAAGGTGTAATTTGAGTATGTAAGAAGGAACATGGAACTTTTAACCACTTCCTCCTCCAAATCATTCAAATTCTGTGACAGGGATTGAGACTCAATTATCAGGCTCTTCATTGTTATTGAGAATGATAGAAATATGCAAAGCAGCCAGTAAAGGTGCCTGTAATCCTTGCTACTCAAGAGAGAGCAATCAAGAGGATCTTGGTTTGAAGCCAGTCCAAACCAAATAGTTCATGAGACCCTATCTGAAAAAAACTCATCACAAAAAAAGGGCTGATGGAGTGGCTCAAGGTGTAGGCCCTGAGTTCAAGCTCCAGTACTGCCAAAAAAAAGCAAAGTCTGCTTCATAGACTATCCACCAAAACCAACTGTGTTTTTATATCAGATTTGAATATTCTACTTCTTAGAAAGATGAGGCACAGAACCTTACCATTTGCTTGTTGCCTAAAAAAGGAGGTGTCTTTCCCAGCTGGGTGCAGTGGCATGCCTGTCATCCCAAGCTATTCGAAAGGCTGATTGTGGTTCCAGACTAGCCCAGGCAAAGAATAGTTTCTGAGACCCCATCTTAATAGAAAAAAGGTGGGCATGGTGGTGTGCGACTGTCATTCCAGCTAAGGCAGGATTGTGGTTCTTGGCTGGCGTGAGCTAAAAGTGAGGCCTTGTCTCCAAAATAACCAGATCAAAAAGGGCTGGAGGTGTGGCTCACAGAACAAGTGCAAAGCAATGAGTTCAAATGCCATACCACAAAAAAACCTTGTTATATTCATGCTTTTTGCCTTCCTTTTTAGACAATTCACCCACAGAACCAGCTTTTTGAATGGCCAGGAAACAAAAGAGGCAATCATTAAAGCAGTCATTTTCCTACTTGATAAACATTTGTATGCAGAACATTTCCACATGAGGCAATGGAATTCATTTCTAACACCATTAATGAAAACACATTATTTTACATCATTTTCCCCTTAATTAGAGCAGTCAGAAAGGTCTGCTCAGGTTCAAAAGAGAGGGCTACACCATCTAGGTATGGTTATGGTAAGGTTCTGGAAGAATACATGGACCTGAAATATTGTTGGGGTCATTTTCAGAAAACGCAACATGCTATGGGTTTCTTTTGTAAAATGGGGAAAGGTAATTAGGAAAAGGGTGAACTGATACGATCCATTGATCATGGGCATGTTCTTAGTCAGGTTTACTTTAATGAAGAATTCACATAGGAATTGAGGAATCTGAATTTGGATATACTTAAAGCTACCCATGTCTGCATATCCCTTGGAAAGTTGAATACTCCCAGGAGTAGGCATACCCTGTTTGAAGACCCTGCTATAGATTATAACCTCATTCTTTAATTTTCTGAATTTCTAAGGTACATACTTCACCATATAGGTTTTTTTTTTTTTTTTTTTTTTTGTGGTACTGGGGTTTTTGAATTCAGGGCCTCATGCTTGTTAAGAAAGCACTCTACCACTTGAGCCACTCTGCCAGCCCTTTTTTGTGTTGAGTATTTTTTGAGATAGTGTCTTCCTTTTTTTGCCCAGACTGGTCTTGAAGCCTGATCCTCCTGACCTTGGCCTCCTGAGTAGCTAGGATTACAGGTGTAAACCACAGGCACCCAGCCCACCATATACTTTTCTAAAAAATTGTTCAGCATTTGTATGGAGATAAAATGTATACCCCGGAACGCTAAAAAAAAAAAAAAAAAAAAATCACTTTCTATTTGCTCAGCTAAACAAAAACAGAACAAAACCAAACTGAATTATCAATGTTGTTAGAACTTCGATAAGTAGCTACATGTTGTAGCACACAACTGTAATCCCAGAGCAAGGAAAACTGAGGCAGGAGGATTATGAATTCAAGGCCAGGCTGGGCTACATACTGTTGCTTCCCAAAAAACACCAAACAAACATGGGGAAAAAAAAACCTTTTGATAATTGAATGAGCAACTAGTAGTTTATACATTATTATTCCTGGGGCCAAAAAATGTTTTCTCTTAAAAAAAGGCAGAAAAGGACAGATGTCTGGAAGTTAGTAAATTTTAATATTTCACTTATAAAGTACAACAGAGAAATAATAGAATGTACATTAACCATTGATGAGTTATATTTCAAAGTCTCCCAAATATGGTATTAATACACTGGCATAAAATCTTCCATAATTTCCTTTTTTCTTTTTGAGATGGGGTCTTACTAAGCTGCCCAGGCTGTCCTCAAACTCACAATCTTTCCATCTCAGCCTCCTGAGTAGGTGGGATTACAGGCACACAGTATCATGAGTTGGCTTCATTTCCTTTTTCATCTTTGCTAATAACCCAATGATCTCTTAAGATATTGGTTAATAATTATTTCCAAGTGTTTTCTCTTACCTATGAAGGTCAGTAAAAGCTATTTACAAAAGTATTCCACTTGCTTTAATTTTCACTGTACATTATTACCTTAACATATCTGGAAAGACAAGATGTTGAGAAATAGGACTTTTCCTTCAATACTGGATAAAATTACTAAGGTTATCTCTCTATAGAAGGAGGTAGGTAGAGCAATGGAATGTTGTAATCAGAATTTCTATATTCATCCAATATTTTAGTGCCTACTATTTTGCAGGCACTAGTCTAAAAACTGAGGACATAGGGGTGAGTGCTTACCATGTGCTTACTATGTGCTAGGCCCTAAGATTTTCACATATTTAAGCCATTTCTCAAACATAATATGACAGGTACTATTAATTTCCACATTTTAACATATGAGAAAATTGAGGAACAGAGCAGTAAAGTCATCTATCTAGTAATTGGTAGAAAGATAATTTCCAAAGTCCTGATTCTCATGCTTTTTATAAATCTATAATTCTTCTTTTTTTTTTTCTTTGCCCCTATGAAAGAGCCAGTGAACAAACAGATAGGATCTGTATGGATCAAATGGAGGTATGACCAGTTAATTTCAGATGTTTCTTTTGGGGAATGTTGAGATAAATATTTAACTAGCTTTATCTTTGTATTGTATGACTCAAAATACTTAAAGAGGCTGCATTGTGCAGGACTTGGATTTTCTTTAATTAATTGGGACAAAATTCCTTCACTTTTTATCTCCATTACTATAGATTTATACATATAACACACTGCCTTTGGAAAACTACTTCTCTACTCCTGGTAGATAAAGTGGGGCTAAACATCACAGAACTGACTCTCAGCTTCAGGATAAGTTCATGATTCAGGATAATTAGGTCTCACTGCCTTGGTCACAGTTAATTGGTTTAAGAATACGAAAGTATTCTCTGGGATTGATGAATTCAGCCCTTTTTGATGAGACTGAAGTTTGAACTCAGGGCTTCCTACTTACAAAGCAGGCACTCTACTGCTTGAGCCACACCTCCAGTCATTTTGCTCTGGTTATTTTGGGGATGGGAATCCCGCAAATTATTAGCCTGGGGGGCCTCTGAACCGAGACCCTTGTGATCTCTGCCTCCCAAGTAGCTAGGATTACAGGTGTGAACAACCAGTGCCCAATTCAGATTTTTTTTTTTCCTTCCTGCAATGGAAGTGCTGCCTGCCAAGTAGCTAGGATTACAGGTGTGAGCAACCAGTGCCCAGTTCAGATTTTTTTTTTCTTCCTGCAATGGAAGTGATTTGAAATTGCTGGTAGCCATCTATTATGTTTTGGGTATTGAGTGTCTACCCACTACTCCCACACCCCCCCCCAAAAAAAGGCTGTGTTGAAGGTTAGGTTCCTAGCTGATGGATCCAATCATTGAGAGGGGATTAGACAAGGATCTGACCTAATCAATAGATTAATCCCTTGACGGATTCATAACATGATGGCATTATTGGGAGGTGGCAGAAAGAGACCAGGCCTAGTTAGATGAAGTCAGTCACTGGAGGATGCCCCTTATCCCTAACCTCTTCATGAGGTGAACAGCCTCTGCCACATGCTCCCATTGCCATGATATTCTGCCCCACCTCAGGTCCAAGGTAATGAATCTAGACAACCTTGGACTGAAACCGTGAGCCAAAATAAATCATTCCTCCCTTGCTTTTCTCAGGTATTTTTTTCAGTGAACAGAAACTGACTAATACCACATAGGCCTCAGGAGAAAGTAAGTCTACAATCATAGAGTTGGGAAATCCAGATAGAACACAAAGCTATTTATGCATGGTTTATCCTTGCCTTTTCTGGTCAAATGAGTACAAACTTACCCTAAGTGGGTTTCAGTGACTTCAGTTCAAATTCAATGTGTTTTTACAGAAGCGTTAGGTAAAATAAGCATGTAGGATAATGGTTATGACAAATATGGATAGAACTGTACTACTCTCTTCCTTTCTCTATGAACAAATATAGAACTGCCTATAGCAAGGATGGTCTATGTCATTTTTAAATAGTTTGCAAAACACTTACTTATGAATTCTAAATGATTACAAAGCATTAGCTTAGTAATTCTACTTCTTATCATACCACGAAACCACAATATAACTAGAAAGACAAAATGTTTTATTTTAAAGCATTGAAAAACATTATGACAAATGTTCATTATATAACCAGGAATGTGAAATATATAGAAACTAATTTTTCTAAATGTAGTAGGCACTTACAGGCAGCTAAATACTGTAAATGATCCTATCTTCTCTAATATCAATACTTGATATGAGAAATACTAAAAAGGCCCTACTAATAATTATTCAGTTATTCAAAGTCAACTTAATTATACAAATAAAAACTTCTGTCCAAGATGTTCTGACACATGAAGCTTCCAGTTGAATTTCAGAAATGTTAACAAAAGTATCTTCCTTTTTTGCCTGTGAATGTCTGAGTATTGGTGAATTGTTGGCTTATATCCACTACAGATACTGGTTCTAGGCCAGCCCAAGGGTCTTCAAGCATTGAAGGCTTGAAATAACTTTCCAACTCATTAGACATTCTTTTTTCTCTACCACGCCCTGATCCAAATGGTGTAGATGTCCTTGGAGAACCCTTTAGGAAAAAAACCATCAGTTAAAAAAAAAAATTCAGTAAAGGTAATTGGTACTTTTTCCTTTAAAAGCTAGTGGAGATCACATTGCTGGTTAAAAGTTGTCACTTGAAACCAATTTTGTTCTGTTACAAAGTCCATTCCTTTAATGTAGTGTTTTTGTTAAAAGTACTAAAACCAATTCTGTATACTAATTTATTAATAACTTTCTGCCCACTGTCACCTCAACTACTTGAGTTTCTAATCTAATAACTGTGCAGTTATTAAATACAAATGGTGATGGCAAGTACAAGCAGTGATGAAATAAATGCATTGTATTCAATTTTTCCTGGGAACTTAGTTTGTTTTCTGGAGAAAAACTAAAGCTTATTTTTAGCCCTACAGTTTAATTTTCTATATTCATTATTCTACACTCAAAGGGTCACCTGGTTTAGCAAATACAACACTGGAAAATACCTAGTAGACCCAAATTATTAGCCAAAGCTCTTAATCACACCAGAAATACTTTCTCTCTGCTGTATTCCTTTGTCTACTATTACCAATTTTACCATGAGAGAACTTGAAATAAGATAAAGGTTAAAAAAAAAAGCAAGGGGGAGGAAGGGTGACAACTGTAGCCAAACGACACCAGCCTATAACCCAGAAAAGCTACAGAAGATTCATTCACTTTCTTTCCCCTCAACTTCAGTATCTCCGTATTGAGAGGAACTGGCAAGAGCCCTGGCAAAAAGGAGAGGAAATGCAGGATTACGGAAATGTTTGAGGGGCAGTGTACTGGTTAAGAGCACAATGGCTCTGTAACAGAACTATGACTCTCCCACTTAAGGTAATTCTTTTTTTTTTTTTTTTTGGTGGGACTGGGGTTTGAACTCAGGGCTTTGTGCTTGTAAAGCTGGCACTCGACTGCTTGAGTCACACCTTCAGTCCATTTTGCTCTGGTTATTTTGGAGATAGGGTCTTGCGAACTATTTGCTCGGGCTGGCCTTGACTCGCGAAACTCCCCATCTCAGCCTCCCAAGTAGTTAGGACTACAGGCGTGCACCACCAGCGCCTGACCACTTAAGGTAATCTTAAGAAAGCTATTTAACTTCTTTAAGCCTCAGTTTACTCATCGACAAAATAGGGCTAACAATAGTATGACACCTCAGAGAGGAGTAAACAAAATAGTCCACATAAAGGGAATATTAGTACCATGCCTGCCATTACAGTAAGAGTTCGGCAAACGCTGGCTATTATTTTTACCTGGGGGTAGGTCTGCTGCTGCCCTGGGGAGTAGCCGAATTGCTGCTGGGACCCCGCGGGGGACTTGGAGTAGGAGCCAGGGTAGCCGCCTGGGGACGGAGACCCGAACCGGCCCCCCGAGAAGCTGCCGCCGTGTCGCGGAGAGTGGCTGCTCCCGTAGGGCCTAGACCGGGGTCCGTAAGGCGGCGTGTGGTGCGGACTCCCGTACCCGTCCCGAGGGGAAGGCGGCCGCGGTCCGCCCCCGCCCGGGGTACCCCGGAAGCTGCTCCCGCTACCCCAACTTCCTACACCCTGGCCGGGGTAAGGAGGAGTCGGGGGTCGAAAATTCGGTCTGTGCATCTCAGGAACAGAAGCCAAGGACCTCACTGCAGCGTTCTCCCACCGGAACTGCATCCGCCGACCCGCCTCAAGAGAACTGGTAGTTCTTTGCTAAAAGAGTCCTCCGGCCGCCAGTGCGCCACGGCACATTGGTTCTCAGCTCACAACAGTTCCGCAAAGGGCAGCGGGATAAATAGATTACTGAATTCGGGGTGGATTAAAGTAAGAAAAGAGGGGAGAAAAAAAATCTAAAGGAAGGGTGGAACCCACGACCATCCCTAGAAGGCAGGGTCTAAGTCTGGCGGTCTTTGGTCGGCCCCACAGGTGAAGAGTCCGTTCAGCGGAGAGCGCGAACAAAATTTCGCCCCGCCCAAAGGGGGTGGGGCCTGAGCTGTCCGCGGGCGCCCCGAGTGGCTGCGGATGGCGCTGCGCTGGGTTTTGCACTCTGAGGAGCGGAGGCAATCCGGAGGGCGCGCGATGCTGGCCCGGGTAGCGGCTCTGCGGAGAACCGGCGTCTCCTCCGGCCGGGGCGGCGGGAGGGGGCTGTGGACGGGCCGCCCGCAGTCAGGTACTCTGACACTTGGTCGGGCGGCGAAAGGGACCCGGGCCCCAGGTTCCTATCTCGGGACGCCCTGAGGAGAGCGCGCTCGCTTTGGTGAAGTCGGCTGCCCCCGCAGTCCGCTTTATGGTCCTTGTGGCTTCTCCACGGCCGTGGTCGCCTGGTTCTCCTGTCCCCAGGTCCGCGCGGTCCGGCGCCCCAGGCCAGGGCCGGAACTGCGCACGGGCCGGGCCGCTGCTGGCCGTTCTTGGCGAGCCTTGCTTCTCCTGTACCCCCAGCCCCTCGTCCCCCAACTTGAAACAACTTTAAAAACATCCACCCGCCTGTTAGAATTAACTGGGGAGAGAGGCCGAAGCAGCAAATGTCGCGCTTTACCTCTTCATTTCAGCTCGTTAGATGAAAGGAGTTAGATAGGTTAGGAAGCCGAGATTCCCTTCCCCCACCCCCTCCTTTACATCCCTCTCCCCCCCACCCCCTCGCTACCCGGCAGAAACTATTTTGCCCTTATCTCTAAAAAAATTCCCTTTTCGAAACATTGTGTGTACCTTGATTGGCTGGCAATAGGATACTCACATTTATTGAATGAACGAAGAAGTCACATAATATATAGGTCAATGATTCCCACCTTTTATGTCATCAATCTAGAGAGCAGAGCAGTGAGGGTGGTGGAGACCAAAATTACATATATTTTTTTTTATAATTGACAGAAGATATGCAGAATTGGGTTTCAGCTTGCTGAGTGAAGAGCTGCAACTTTTTTTTTTTTTTTACTTGGCTTATGCTTCTGGAGTGTTCTTGTCTCCTACACATAGGAACTTGCATTACAAATCTGGGAAGGGACGAAATACAGTAGAATATTTTGACAGGTAGATTGTGCATGACAGCACATATAGTTATACATATGAAGATAAATAAATTAATAATTATATGACACTCAGATCTAGTTGAATCACTTTTGAGACTTTCTTCTTTACAGATGAGAAATTAGTCAAGAGAAGTTAAAAGACTGCTCAAGTTCACATAGCAAGCAGAGCCAGGACAAGAACTCAGGCTTCCTGAATTCCAGAAAACTTTTTTACCTAAGAAATATGGATTGACAATCGGTCTATCATTTGAAAAATAAAATAAATAAGTTGGAAGTGATACCGATGTAATTTCTTTTAGATGTAGACATTACTGAATATAATCTTAACTATTGGATCTTTATAAGTATGGCATTAGTCTGGCAATTATAGTCTTGCTGTCTGAGCTGGTGGGCTCTGACCAGCTTTTAGTTCTTTGTGTGGTGGTGAGTTCAGAAGATGAGGGGAAAGGGAAGAAGCTTTATGTTGGGTTTTTCTGGAGGTAGGAGAGTGAAGGACTAGGATCATGAATGTAAAGGAGTTGTGAGTATATGGTGGTTTCCCTGTGGAGGGAAATGGCATTTCTCATTTTTGCTAGCAAATAGGCATGTTCCTGTGAAAAAGAGAGTTGCAGTACTGTGTAGGGAAGACCAGCATTAGAAGACACGATCCTGGATAAGGCAGTGCTTTTATGAAAGCTGCAGTCAGTGGCCAGGTGCTGTCTTCAAGTAGCATTGCATACCTAGGCATTATTAGATAGAAGAACATCCAGGAATTTTCTGACTACCTGTGAGCTGCACGAGGCGCCTCAGACATAATTGGTTAACTTTCTGGTGGTGGTGTGTTTCAGAAGTTTAGAAGTTAAAAGCAAGTGAGAATACTAAGACAGGGAAATTTAAGTATAAATGCAAATAGGACATTGTCTGGCTCTATACGACTTTGAATATTTAGATTACCTAAAATTTTTTAGTGTTTCTTTTTTTCAGTAAATTTATTTTTTTTTCTTTTTCATAGAGTCTTATCTTAAAAAGAAGAAGAAACATACTTGGGAGCCCAATACATAAAAGCAGAAGAGATACATTTAGAGCAGGAATTAGAGTCCCAGGGCTTACCTTGTACCCTTAATTTAATATTCACCCCCTTCCACAATTACCAAAAAGGCTCTGGGATCCCTCTGAGGAATTCTCAGGTCTCTACAGAAAGGGTTTGAATTCTATTTTAGGTAGGTGGCAATGTTGCAAATATCAGTACTTTGTTTAGTTTTATTGTGTCATCTCAAGAAGTAAATATTTTCCTGTTTCTGCATGGTTAAGGCTTTCTAAATGAAGAAAACTGGACTGTGGGTTAAAGGACAAGCCTTGGAAGTTAAAAGATGACTGAATAGGTAGTTTGAGAATTTCCAGGAGGTACGTGTTTATATTTTAAAGGAATATAAACCCAGAGCCTTGAAGACATTCCTGATATTGTAAACCTTGTGAAGCTTATCTTATCTACCCCCTGGAAATGTTTACCACATGCCACGCCTTGAGTAAGAACCCAGTCATAGTCCACTTTTCTTCCCTAGGAGAATTTGCTTCCTTAGGTTAAATTAGTTTTCTCTCCCTATCTCAGGGGAAGGTGTCAGCTGGGCAGTTGTTCCACAAAAACTCCCAGATTCATAATTTTGGCATTCTTCTCCTGTGGTTCAACCCCTGTAATGTGATTCTCATTGAGTCACCTGTGAGATACTAGGTATAGGAAAATGGCACATTTCTTTTTGTGTGTGTGTTTTTGCTTTTACAACAGGGTCTCACTATGTAGCCCAGAATGGCCTTAAACTCACTATCCACCTGCCTTGGGATTTCTTTTCTTTTTTGTGGCAGATTGGGGTTTGAACTCAGGGTCTATGCCTTGAACCACTCCACCAACCCTTTTTTGTGATGGGTTTTTTTGAGATAGGGTCTCTAGAACTACTTGTCTGGGCTGCCCTTGAACTGCAATCCTCCTGATCTCTGTCTTTTGAGTAGCTAGGATTACAGGCGTGAGCCACTGGTACATGGCTAGGATTTCCTTTTCTTTTTTTTAATCTTTTCTTTTTTCTTTTGGTGGGATTGGAGTTCAAATTCAGGGCTTTGTGCTTGCAAAGCAGGCTCTCTACTGCTTGAGCCACACCTCCAGTACATTTTGCTCTGGTTATTTTGGAAAAGAGGTCTTGAGAACTGTTCGCCTGGGCTGGCCTGGCCTGATCTCAGCCTCCCAAAGAGCCACTGGTGCTCAACTTGCATCTTTGTATTTTTACAGTTATAAAAATGATACACAATGGTTATGACTTGAATGTCCCCTCCAAAGCTCAGGTTGAAATTTAATTGCAACTGTAACAGTATGGGTAGTGGGGCCTTTAAGAGATGTTTAGGTCATGAAGGCTCAGCCCTCATGATGAATTAGGGCAGTTATCATATGAGTAGGTTAGTTATTCCAAGAGTGTGTTACTGTAGAGCAAGATCAATTTTCTTGGCTTCTTTTTTTCCTGCCCTCTTGTCCTCTTGTTTTGTTCCATGGAGTGATGCAGCACAAAGGCCACATGCAGGCATCATGCTCTCTTGGACTTCCTAGGCTTTGGATTCATGACAAATAAATTTCTTCTTAAAATAAATCACCCAGTCTGTGGGTTTCTATTGTAGCAGCAGAAAATGTGGTAAGACAATACTTCATAGAAAATGTAAAAATATTAGGAAAGTAGAAAGAAAAAATGCTGGTTTTTATCCAAAAAGTGACTACTTAATGTTTAAGTTGGAAACATAAACCTCAGATAGTTTAAAACATTAAATAGGAAAACAGAGGCTTTTTAAATGGAAAAACCAGTTATAAATTAATAATATAATCTAGGGTTGGAAAAACATAATACCTGTACAGAAAAGAGTTAACATAGCAGGCCTTAGGCTGCTGTTTCCAGAAGGACCACCTTACAAGTTTGACTTTTGGTTCATGTCTGGGAACTTGATACTTGAATTGCTTCCTAACTAATGGAGGTGGTTCACTATGTCTAGATGGCTTGACAAACAATGTGATTTATGATGAACACCTTCTTCTGGGAGTCTTGAATTTTGGTACATGGTAAGCAGAGTGCCTGTGTGACTAGCTCTTGATAAAAAACTTGGGTTCTGAGTCTAATGGACTTCCATGGTTAGAAACATCACACATGATTTTGTGCTTCTTGTTGCTGGAGATAAAATCATGCTTGCTGTAGCTCTCCATGGGAGAGAGAAGCTAAGAAGCCTGTTCATGGATTTTTCCAATCTTTGCCTGTGTCTTTTCCCCTTGTTGGTCCTGTTATGTGTCACTTTATTATGGTGACCTTAGCTGTGAATATAATCATTTGCTGAATCCTGTGATTCCTTCTAGCAAATCACTGAAAGTATGTGTGGTTTTGGGAAACCCTGAGACAACATCAAAGACAGAAATCATCAAAGAAATGAAATTCTTGTGTCTGAGGATATAGCTCACTGATAGAATACTGGTCTAGTCCTGGATTCCATCCCTAAAAAAAAAAAAAGAAAAGAAAAGAAATTCTAAAACAATTGTAAAAAACAAAGAGTGGATAGGGAAAAATTACTTTCACCAAATAATGACTAATGAAAAAGTTAATTTTTTACTACCTAAATAATCTATACAAATCAATAAGAAAAAGAAAGGTAAACATGTCTCTAGAAATGTGGGCTGATAACAAGAATAATTTATAAGAAAAGATATGAAAATAGTTCATATATAAACCAATGAGTTACATGCAAAATTTCTACTGTCAAATTTGTAGTGAGCAAGTAAATAAAATCCCCTCAAGATTATATTCAGGGTTATAGAAGAAGACAGAGAACACTAGTTATATATCCTGAGCTAGTGCCAGTACATGTTATATATAACCTTTCTGGTAGACAATTTGATAATATACATAAAAGTGTGCATAACTGGGGATTTTACCCAGGGCTTCACACATGCTGGGCAAGTGCTCTCTGGCTTGAGCCATGCCTCTAGCTCTTTTGTTTTATATTTTGTTTTTGAGATAGATCTTCCTAACTTTCCTGGGCTGACCTCAAACTCATGATCCTCCTGCCTTCTCCTCCTTAGTAGTTGGAATTACAGGTATATGTCACTATGTTTGGCTTGCATTAAAAGTTTTTAAGCATTTGTGAT